AATCTGTTTGGAATTTTCTTATCCTAATGTAAAGGGCCATAGCAAATACCCTACTCTTTTTTGTTTTGTTTTGTTAAAAAAGAAAAAAAAAGTACTTTCTAAGAAAAAGTATGACTTCTATTAAAAGTTCATCTCGGATAACCAGGCTTCTATATGTATTTTTATTTCGCTTCTAGTTTTATTTGCAAGGTTGCTATCATGTTTCGTTTATTATGAAAGATCACGGTGATGGAATTACGGTAGGGAGATTTCTGTTGAAAAATCTGCTAGTTGTTCCTCTGTTTCAGTTTAGCCTTCGGATATAATCCAATACTGGAATTTTAGCTTCCAAAATTTCTAACTCACTTCTGTGCTGGCTGGGGAATTCTGGGAGTTGAAGTCCATCATCTTAAAGTTGCCCAGGTTGAGAGACACTGCTAGAGGAGCCAATAATTGAACACAAAAACCTGCTTTTTGATAATTATATCGTCTTCATGAAGGGTTCTGGTCTTTGCTCTTTGGAAACTGTCAGGACAGGATTGGGGCCAGCTTTTTCAAGAGTCTACTAAACAAGTGGAACCCCAATATTGTCTAGGACAGGAGTGTCAAACTCGCAACATCACATGATGTGTCGTGACCTATTGTGACTTTTTTTCCCCATTGCTGGCAATGAGGTCGGCGCGGTTTCCTCAGTGCCAGCAAATCTGGAGGACCCAGGTTGGCAAGAAGCTGCACTGTAAGGCTTCCTTAGCCAAGAAACAACTCATGATCCATGGAAGGCAGCCTAAAAGTGCACGTGCTGCGGCCATCAAAGCTCCTCTGAGAGTTATTTCCCAGTTGTAATAGTTTTTATTATCAAGACTGCACAACTCCATAGAAACTTTTTAATGTGGCTGAAGGGGGAAATACTAAACATGCAGGTAGCAATCACTGCAACCATAATCAAATGCTAATTAAATCAAATTTTGTTTTTATTGTACACTGTGATTGCCCTGTTTTGGACAATGCAGCCTCTGGCATGTTTTTGTAGCTCTTGTCTACTTATTATTATCCAATTACAGATAGTCTTTGATGATAACGGTTCATTTAATGACTGTCCAAAGTTGCAACGGCACTGAAAAAGTGACTTATGACCATTTTTCACACAACAGTTGCTGCATCCCCATGGTCGGGTGATCAAAATTCATATGCTTGGCAACTATTTCATATTTATGACTGTTGCTATGTCCCAAGATCATGTGATCACCCTTTGCGACTTTCTAACAAGCAAAGTCAATGGGGAAGGCAGATTAGCAACAGCACTTAGACTTCTATACGGCTTCACAGTGCTTTACAGCTCTCTCTAAGCAGTTTACAAAGTCAGCATGTTGGCCCCAACAACCTGGGTCCCCATTTTATCAACCTTGGAAGGTTGAGTCAGAATCGAACTCCTGGCAGTGAAGAGTTAGCCTCCAACCCCACATTCTAACCACTGCACCACCACAGCTTAGATTCACTGAACAACTGTGTTACTAACTTAACAACTGCAGTGATTCATTTAACAACTATGGCAAGAAAGGTTGTAAAATGGGGCAAAATTCACTTAACAAATATCTCACTTAGCGACAGAAATACTAGGCTCAGTTGTGGTCGTAAATCAAGGACTATGGTCATTTTTTCCTCCAATTTTGGAAATATTGTCTTTGGAATTTGGCAAACTATGCACAGACCAGCCATTCACAAGAGGCGAGCCTTGCTAGCTCAGATAAAAAGGATTAAATTTGTATTTATTAATTAGATTTACAACCTGACTTTTGTTCAAATGCTCAAGATGATGATGTAGGTTAGATGAAGGCAATAAAACTTTCCCTCAATGCTGCTCCCAGAAACTATATTAGCAGCCTTCCCATTCTGAAACAGGCAAAAATAGATTGATACCAAAGGCCTGTGGTGAAACTATATTTAATATCATTGCATTGATTACTTAGAACAGTGGTGGCGAACCTATGGCACGCGTGCCGGAGGCGGCACTTGGAGCCCTCTCTGTGGGCACATGTGCCGTTGCCCCAGTCTCGCCTCCCCCCGCAACCCCCTCACCAGCAGCCCCCCTGGAGGAGAGTCGTCCCCAAGCGTGGCCCACATGGAGCAGCGCAGCCAAGGACATGGCAGCCAGGCAGTGTAGACAAGACTCTGCCCTCACGCCCCATCCCGCACAGTTGATGCTGCGGGGTGCAGGCAGAGGGCGTGGCCACCATGGCGCTGCTGGGCTGCCTGGGCAATCTGCGGCGGGTCCTGAAGGCGGTGAGTGGCCCTGTGGGGAGGCAGGGTGGGGGACGGGGTGGGAGTGGAGCAGGGGCACGGCAGGGGGTGGAGTGGGGGCAGGGCCAGTTTTTGGGCACTTGGTCTCTAAAAGGTTCGCCATCACTGACTTAGAATAAAGATCTTACTAATTCACATTCATAAGATTACTGTATTTGCACAAAAGGTTGCATGATTTTTAGCACTTCGATAAAGTATCTTTGCTATCATCCCTTGGGGCCTCCAGATTATTTCTGAAACTGCTCAGAGGACAATGGATACTTGAAACATTTGACTAAGGTTACAAAGCCAATTTAAGAATCTTTTCTTAATCTACCAGCCCAGAGACCCATTCTGGAGTGGTGTGTCAATCCACATTCTTAATCTTTGAAAATTCTTTGATTTATTGTATGTAGGCTTTGCACTATTGTTTGGCTGGAGACAGCATACTATTAGAAAAAAAAGTTCAGCTAATATCAAATACAAACAAAAAATCTGCACTGTAAAGTATAATCTTAGTTTAGATGCAGCAGAATACTAAGTTTAGAACAATTAATGTATAAATATAGTAAATAAATGACTAATAAAGTTATTCAATGCAGATGTACCAAAAAGATCCCTCTATTCTTGGATTAAAAAAACTTTCATACATACCTTTAGAAAGGCTCTTGAATAAACATACCAGTTATGAAATAAAAGGATCTGTTCTTTTACGGCATGGGACCAACAAATAATAAAACTAAAGGGACAATTTTCTCAGTGGAAGACCTGATGCTTTTTTATTGAGACACAAATTATGTTGACAAGAGGAAAAAGATGCTGGATCATACTGAATAACTCAACAAAGATGTTAGCTCAGTGTCTAGCAGCTGTGAAAAAAAGCACATTCCACACTTGAAATCACTAAGAAAGAGACTGCAAAAATTGTAATGCTCTTATTATAAATCTGTTGTATGTCCATATCTGGATCTCAACATCTGAAAATGGATCTATAGTAGGGAAAAAATGGGATAGAACCAGCAGCAAGGTGGATGGACTTCATTAGTGGTAGTTCGTGCACCATTGGAAGACAAGATTGGGGATAGATTGTCTTGAAGAAAAATTATCTAAGCAGTCTCTAGGAGTTAATACTGACTTGATGGCACATAATCACCATCATAACATGTGGGTCTCACTCCTTAGCTTAGAACAGGTATGTCAAACTGCCGGCCCATGGGCCGGATGCATCACGCCGAAACTGCACCCACCCCATTGCCAGCAATGGGGAAAAAGACACAATATGTTGCGCGACGTCGCGATACATCACATGACGTCATGAGTTTGACATGCCTGGCTTAGAAGAAGGCAACTGAAGACACAAACTATACACAATCATGTCTGGTGCGATAAAGTGGACAGGGAAAATTCTTAACCCAATGAAACTGGGAGATTTAGAATATATGAAATAACCACATTCCCACAGCACATAATGTATATGTCAACTGGAATGGCTCATAAAAGGGGATTGTGTGGCTTCAAATGCCACCTATAGAAAAGTGTGAGAGAGACGCTTGAATGAGGCGCTGGTTGCCCTTTGTAAGAAACAAAATGTTGGACTAAAATGGCCCTTACTCTAATGCAGAAAGGTTGCACTAATGTTCTTAAGAACGCCTACCATTTTTGTCATTCATACTTGACTCATGTTATTGCTATGTTTATAAATATTTAGTCTCTTTTCATTTCATTGAGTGAGCTCTCTTACAAAGTCGTGAACAAATAAGTAGTAATCAGCTTCATTGGAGGGCAACTTTAGTTATTTTGAACTAAACTTATTTATATCCCAGATTTAGTTTAGGACCTTAGGAAGGCATACAAATCTCCCACTAGCTCGACCTAAGAACTGAAGTGTATCTGGGGAAGACCAAAGTCACATACATTTGTTGGTATTCTTGTCTAAAATCTCAGAGGAGAAAATTTGGGCAAGTTGCTCCCTATTGTTTGTCTATTAGTGTAGCCCCTATTGTTTGTCTATTAGTGTAGCCCCTATGCCTTCACTATAGTTACCTTCTTGCTTTTCTCTCCTATCCACAAGATAGGTGAAGATGATTGCTTTTGCACTGACAGTTTGCCCAGAACAGGTGAAAGGAAGGCAGTTATTTGGATGATCGAACATACCCGATTCCACATAATCTATGGCTATATACACTCACTGGGAGTGGGTTTCCACTCAGAAACGGAGATCAATGTGACTTACTCCCAGACAAACGGTACTAGATGAGTGCCAGCTTCAACAATAAATCTGAAGCGAAGTTTTAACTATGATCTTCTTTCTAGAATCTAGGGCACCATCGATAGTTCCCCACTTCTTAAAGGCAGCAGCACGTCAAGAATATTTAAATTAACTACTGTATAGCCAGCTTTGTATAATTGTATTGTGCTGTATTGTATTGTAGTCTGTCTGTCTGTCTGTCTGCCTATCTATATACTCATACACGAACACACACGCATGTACTGTACTGCATATTCCTTCACGTGCGCCGCCAATCAGCTCAGTTCAAAAACTACGTTTTTCTTGACTTCCTGATAAAGAGGACTTTAGAACGCGGCGTCTCCACACGGCTGCGCGTGGAACCCCGAAGAAGCGACGCCATTGGCCGAAGGGAAAGGATTACTGTTCATCAAGAGTCAGATCATCGGCCAGTGGCTGTTCTGAAGGCGTGGCGGTGAGAGATTCCGCTTTTGATTGGCTAGCAGTTCGCAGTGGCCCTAGAGCGCCTGCAAAGGTGAGTGTCCCTTGAAGTCGTGGCTGAAATCTGAGCAAAGTAAGGCAATTTACATGGCATCTAACCCTTTGGGACAGGCGCTTTGCATTGGTGACTGTGGATGGTGTGTTGCAGCCTGAACTGACTGCGGAGAGAACTATCAGCTGTTTCCTAGTTCTTTTGTTGCAGCCTTATTAAGCACATTGGGGGGGGGGGGAGCGGATCCTATTTAAGTACTGTAGTTAAATCCTAGTCGGGTTTTCAGTTCCCAGAAGAAGAAATAAGCGAGTTCTGATTTTTTTATGATTATGTGCCACCATGTTGGTGTCAACACTTAGCAGATACAAAGATAAATTTTCTCAGTCATGATTTATCTCTAACTTTGGGTTTTAGATCTCCCAATCCTTCCCCCCAAGTCCTGTTGTTCTGCCTCATATTTGGTGGAGGGAATGAAGAAGGGATATTCCTGGGAGGAATGAACGAAGAACAGGGGGAGTATATGCCAAGTGTATCTGTTCCCAACAGGATCACTCAAAGTGTGAAGGTTATTCCAGCTGTCCACTAAAACAAGCAGGTGTCTACTGTATGTTGGGCAGCAGCAATATAGGAAGATGCTGGAAACAGATTTATCACTTTAGTGACAATGGCAAGGGCAGCAATTTATACTGCACAGGAAAAGGCAGAGTTAAAAACCATTCCTGTATTTTTACCAAGAAAACTCATGGATAGAATATATAAAACGGTTGACAATATAATGCCAGATAGCATATAAGCGTTGCTTGAGCAGGGTCCGCAAGATTGTCTGGGACACTACACATCCTCTTCACAACCTGTTTTCCTTGCTACCTTCTGGGAGGAGGCTCCGTGGTATCCGAAGCAGAACATCCAGATTCAGTCACAGTTTTGTTCCATACAGTATTAACCTTGTGAACTCTAAAGCTTCCTCCTTCTGTTATGTATTCAAGATGGACAGTGATTAATATTTATATGTTACTTATGTGTAAGGGTGTAGGTCTATACATATGTTGTTTATAGTACATTTAAATATGTGTTATGTATGTGTACGCTTTGAGAGCAAGCAACTAAATTTCATTTTTAATGTGTGCCATTGTGCCCACAGTAAAAAAAAATGACAATCTGGGTGCTCGGAAGACATAATCTTTGGTCCTGATGACCAACCCAGATTGGATCCTGCAACATTTTCCTGGGATATGTTTATTTACCTTCATTCGTCTGTTAACATGCATTAGCAAAAATATGGAAAACTTCAGAAAATCTGAAATGGAGCAATTATGGGACTTGAAGTCCAAATTATGAGATATTTACATGAGAATCAGTATGATGGAGCAGTTCAAGTGCTGAACTAGGAGCATAGAAACTTTAAGCATAGAAACTGACCAGTGACTTTGGGCGAATTATTCTCTCTCTCAGCACTAGACTGGGAAATTAAAAAAAATTATTTACCAATCCATACTAGACCGGTGAGGCTGCTTATGATCTATAACTGTCAGGTGAGGAACTTTTAATCCTATGCTAGGTTGATTTGAGCTAATACAGGTAGTCCTCAACTTACTGAGCCCAAAATTTATGTTGCTAAGTGAGAAATTTTTAAGTGAGTTTTGTCCCATTTTATGACTTCTCTTGCCACATTTGTTAAGTGAATCACTGCAGTTATTCAATTAGTAACCCGGTTGTTAAGTGAATCTGGTTTCCCCATTGACTTTGCCTATCAGAAGCTTGCAAAAGATGATCCTATGATCCCGGGACACTGCAACTGTCACAAATATGAGTCAGTTGTCAAGCATCTGAATGTAAATCATGTGACCATCAGGATGCAGCAATGGTCATAAGTGTGAAAAATGGTCATAAGTCACTTTTTTCAATGCCGTTGTAACTTCAAACAAGTCACTAAGCGAATTGAGGTAAGTCAAGGACAACCTGTAATCACTGTGAAGTTGGCAAGAATTATTTTGGAGTTCAGCAGCCTAAAAATATTTTTTTATTAGATGTATTTGCCCATTTCATTTCAAGGCAGCTCTGGGAGGCTTACAGCATTAAAAGCATTAAAACCATAAAAGATAAACATTTCTAAAATCACAATCGGGCTCTTACGGAAGGTCAGGAGGGTGGGAGCTGATCTCACCTCAGGAAGTAAGATGTTCCAAAAGGCAGGAGCCACAGCAGAGAAGGCCCTTCTCCTAGACTCTGCCAGTTGAAATTCCTTGACTGATGGGGACCACAACAGGCCTCCTCTGTCAGCGCAGGTGGGATGGGCCAGTCCCATTGGGGTGAGATGGTTCCTCAAATAAATGATTCCTCAAGGCCCACGCCATACAGGGCGTTAAAGGTAGTAACCAACATCTTGAGCTGCTAGTGAATATATGGTGAATGAATAAATAAATATAATACTCAATATAATTCTTACAATAATATGTAAATAATCAGAGTTCAGTTGATTTTGTACAACTACATTTGGATCTAACCCATTATGTACACAACTCTTTACATATACAGTCGTATAGTCTTTGTTGAAGTTATAAAAATAAATTGTAGTGTTTTAAAACAAGAAAAATATATTTAAAAGGAAACTTTCAGGATCTTCTAATATTTCAATCTGGTCTCAGCTTGGAAATGTCCCTGGCACGGCTTGGAAAAGTGGTTCCCAAATCAAGCATCTTGTTCCTGTGTGACATGCAAGAGAAATTCCGCCCCAACATCAGCTACTTCCCTCAGATTGTGTCTGTGGCAGCTCGGATGCTGAAGGTAAACACTGGAGGGTAAGGACAAAGAAGTTTGACATGATCTAGAGCAGCGGTTCTCAACCTGTGGGTCGCGACCCCTTTGGGGGTCAAATGACCCTTTCACAGGGGTCGCCTAAGACACGGGTCGGCAACCCGCTGGGGCGGCGGCCAGTGGGGGCATTGCACCCCGGGAAGCCGAGCTGGCCACATGTCTCTCCAGGTCGGGCCGGGCGGAAGTCCCAGCTGGGGCAGTGGCCAGCGGGGGCATCGCACCCCGGGAAGCCGAGCTGGCCACGTCTCCCCGGGCTGGGTGGCAGTCCCGGCTGGGGTGGCAGCCAGCAGGGGCATCGCTCCCTGGGAAGCCGAGCCAGCCACATGTTTCCCCAAGTTGGGCGGGGCAGCAGTCATGGCTGGGACGGCAGCCGGCGGGGGCATCGCCCCCTGGGAAGCCGAGCTGGCCACGTGTCTCCCCAGGCTGGGCCAGGTGGCAGTCCCGGCTGGGGCGGAGGCGGCATTGCTCCCTGGGAAGCTGAGCCGGCCACGTGTCTCCGGCTGAGCGAGGCCGGAGAGGTGGCGGCGACCGGGCAGCCGCGGCAATTCACTGTCCTCCCGCTGTTGCCTGGCTGCCGCGGGGCTCTCTGCCGCCCAGCCCCACCTCGGCCCCATCGGTGGCGCCTTGTCATCAGTGGCGCCGGCGCCCTCGGTGCTGCAGGAGAAGACCTTGGGCTGCAAGGGCGGCGGGGCCGGCGGCGGTCGGGACCCCCCTCGTCCCCGCGGCATAGGACACCCCCCCTCAGATTTTAATCAAAGCCTGGTAACATGACTTCATGGCCCTGCTATGGCCAGGATATTGCAAGAGGGCCTGCTGATCTTGACTGATGGCACATGACTCTGGGATGGGAATGAAAAGCCTGAGACTTTCACTGTGAGTAAAGCTATGTGAAGATCTAGCAAATCCTCAAAATAACAATGGTCTTCTGCATTGCCACTACACAAGTACTTCTGGGGATGCTCCCTCCATCAGAGGGCCTTCATAAAACACGGGCCATTAAGGCAAGGCTAAGGTGTCTTGTGCAATTTCTTAGATGGACACCAGGGGTCAGCATAAAATCAGCGTCTGAAAAGCTCGCCTCTCCATCCAATTTGGGAGTCCAGCTTGTTTTCACCCTACCTATCCCCAAGGCCCTGTTCTGTCTCCCACCAGGTTGCTGAAGCTCTTGAAATCCGCACTGTGGTCACTGAGCAATACCCCAAAGGTTTGGGTCCAACAGTACCGGAGCTGGGAGCTGAAGAATTGCCCAAATACACCAAAACGTGCTTCAGCATGCTTATCCCAGAGGTGGAAAAAGAGATGGAATCTGTTCCCAACTTGAAATCCGTACTTCTCTGTGGGATCGAGACACAGGCTTGCATCATGGTATGAGATCAGGAAACTGGCTTTTTGGGGTAAGGCACCAGAACTGGTGCCAGGGTAGACAGACTACCTATGCAGCTTTTATCAGTGTACCAATAGAAGAGAATATTTGTAGCTCACAGTTGAACTGTGAGGTTCTTGATGCTCTCTGAGCTTGGTTTCATCAACGTTCAGCAGAAAGGCAGTAAACTCAGCTCCCCTCCTATTTGTGCTGCACGGAACCCAACTGCATATGTATATAGTTGGTTAAGGTCTTGGAGTAAAACATGGGAGGTTCAAGTTTAAACCACCTTCAGCTTTCAAGGGTTTGAACTAGTTTCACTAGGCCATTGTTCTTTACAAGGTCCTGGGAATCTGCAGGAACTTGCTCCTCTTGTCAAAAATAAGAGATAAAGGATCATGCTGCAAACTCTGTCCCAGGACATGGCTTTAATCATTGTTCCCCACCTCCTGTGGACCCAGCTGCAAAGGGCTATTGTACAATTAAAAGGAAGAGAGATTCCTATCTAAATCACATTGTATTCCTGGAGGAAAAAGTGGGTTGGAAGCTTAATAGACCAATAAATAGAAGGTTTATAGCAGTGATGGCGAACCTTTTAGAGATCGAGTGCCCAAACTGCAACCCAAAACCCACTTATGCATCGTCAGGTGCCGGGTGGGTGTGGCCCATTGGCTGGGTATGGCCAATTGGGTGGGCGTGGCTGCAGTGGTAATGGCAGACTAGGTGGGACTAAAAAGTTCAATCAATCAATTCCAACTTTGCAAGATCTTTTTTTTTCCTGCGAGAAGTTGAAATTGACTGATTGATTGCACACGGCGGTGGAGGCCTAAAGTGAAAAGGTTTTATAGAACCCAGCTGAAGGCCTAGGACTGGGGCGACGGCACGCGTGCCCACAGAGAGGGCTCTGAGTGCCGCCTCTGGCACCCGTGCCATAGGTTCGCCACCACTGGTTTATAGAGACCAGGAATATCACCCTTGTTCAAATAAGCCAGTAGCTTTTTTTATAGAACATGCTAAATCGAGTTTACTGAATTAATTATCGCTGCTGGATTCACCAAAGGAGTAAACTGTAACCCATGCTTATAAGCTATCCTGTCTTGGTTCATACAATGTACAGGTTGTTGTCAACTTACAACCATTCATTTAATGACCATTCAAAATTAGTGCTGAAAAAAGTGACTTGCAACTGGTCCTTGCACTTTCACCCATTGCACTCTCCTTGCAGTAACGTGACCAAAATTTGGGTGCTTGGAATCAGCATATATTTATGACAGTTCTGGTGTCCCAGGGTCATGTGATCACCATTTTTGAACTTCCCAGCCAGCTTCTGACAAAGTCAATGGTGGAGTTTTGGATTCACTTAATAACTGCAGTGACTTGCTTAACAGCCATGGCAAAACATTGTGAAATTGAGCATAACTCATTTAATGACGTCTTCAGCAGCGAAAGTGCCAGTCCCAATTGTGGTCCTAAGTCAAGGACTACTTGTAGACAAACCAACAGAAGAGAAAATACGTAGCTAAGGGATGCACTATTAGGTTCTTGGTGTTCTTTGAGCTTGGTTGTTTCTTTGCATAGGTTTCATTCACTTAAAAACAAACCATATTTTGATCTCGTGTGCTGAGTATACTCAGCCATGTAATATGACTTCTTTGGTTTTGACACATAAGTGGCTAGATCAGGGGTAGGCAACCTTGGCTCTTTTATGACTCGTGGACTTCAACTCCCAGAATTCCTGAGCCAGCATGCCTGGCTCAGGAATTCTGGGAGTTGAAGTCCACGAATCATAAAAGAGCCAAGGTTGCCTACCCCTCGGCTAGATTCACACACCATGCAAATTTATTCAGCACACCATGGCTAAGTAAACTATGCTTGCATGTGTTGTTTGAAACCAGCATTTAAGTGCCAGAGTAAAATTGGGAAGGCATCCATTTCTTCCTATCTTTGAATCTTTAATCGATGTAGCTGACCTGGCAGTTTCAAATTCCGAGGAGCCTGGGAAGGGGTAAAACAAAGCACTTTTTTTCTTAAGCTAAAAAAAGGGGGCCCAAATAATGTACAGGTAGTCCTCGACTTACAACCATTAGTTCAGCAACCATTCGCAGTTACAACAGCATTGAAAACAGTGGTTTATAGCTGGTCCTTGCATCCTTCCCAGCTGGCTTCTGATAAGCAAAGTCAATGGGGAAAACCAGATTTGCTTAAAAACTATGTGATTCACTTAATAACTGCAGTAATTCACTTAACCATGACAAAAGTAAAATAGGGTACAACTCAGTTAACTGTCTTGCTTAGCAATGGAAATTCTGGTCTGAATTGTAGTTGTTAAGTCGAGGATTACCTAGTATAGAACTTAGAAATAGGCATGAAGCTAATTTGCTCCTATGAATTAAAGGAGAAGCAGCAAAGCTGCTTTATATGTAGGTAGCCAGTTTACCACCAGTGGGTGTATTCACGGTGGGAATGAGGACCCACCATACGCATCTCCACAACACATGTTGGTACTAAACATCTCCACATTTCTCCGCCCAGAGGGCCTGCTGGGAAATGGTTGAAGAACTGAAAGAGTTGCAAAACCCTGGGAGTGGCAGAGTTCTGAAGAGTGCCACCACAGGAATGATTGCTCTCTCATTGAAACTGAAGGCGGTTTCTTTTGATTTTTTTTTTTTTTGATCCAGAGTACTGCCTTGGATGTCATGGAGCGAGGTCTGGACGTTCACATCGTGGTGGATGCTTGCTCTTCCCGCAGGTGATCAGTGGGACAGATGGGGAGAAGAGTCCAGCATCACCCCTTCCATTTTCTTCATATCTTTTATTGGGTACTTTTCTTTCTGTCTTCCTTTCTTAGCCAGGTGGACAGGATCATAGCTCTGTCCAGACTGCGTCAGAGCGGGGCTTTCCTTACCACTAGTGAGGGACTTATCCTGCAGCTCGTCCGGGATGCAGCTCACCCGCGTTTCCGAGAGGTAATTCTCTAAATTTCTTTGCACATATCCAAGTTGCCAGCTTCATTCACCTGCTTCATTTGGCCAGTGCCTCTCTATAAATGGCCCCCTAGTGAAGCAGTGGGGTTTAATCAGCTCAGTGTGAAACAGTCCCACTGATGTCAGAAACAGCCACCTTTGGTGGTATCCCAGCCACCTTTACAGAAGTAAGCATGTTTCTTTTTTGATAATACAATAAAACTACAAAACCCATAGTTTCTTGATCGGGATCAGCAATATCATGAGCAGATAATGGGAAGAAAACATATCCTTCTCATACGTTACTCTATTGTGTCTTATCTCCTCATGTGGTCACGGGCATAAAGGAGGAGAATGTTGTAACTTGTTACCAGAATCCCTAGAGAAGCCCTGCTATGGGGCCACTCTAGGCCCTCGTCTCTATTTATTTTATTTATTTATTTTTTATTATTTATTTTATTTATTAAATTTATATACCGCCCTATCTCCCTTACGGGACTCAGGGCGGTGAACAGGCGATACTAAAAACCACAATAATAAATAAATAGTTTCTGTGTTAAAATCAAATTAAATATCAGGCCTGTTCTAAAAACACCCCATACAAAACCCCCACTAAAACATAATCAAACTATGCCAGGCCGGCCGCACGGAATAGATGGGCGTTCAGGGCTCGGCGAAAAAGGCGCAGGTCCGCAACTGTACGTAGGTCGGGGGGTAGGTCATTCCAGAGGGCAGGAGCTGCCACAGAGAAGGCTCTCCCCCTGGGGGTCGCCAGCCGGCATTGTCTGGCCGACGGCACTCTAAGGAGGCCCTCTCTGTGGGAGCGGACTGGTCGAAGGGAGGTGTTTGGTAGGAGGCGGTNCAATAGTCCAGGCGGGAAACAACGAGGGCTTGAGTGACTGTGCGTAGGGCGTCCCGATCCAGAAAGGGGCGCAACTGGCGTATCAGGCGAGCCTGATGAAAAGCCCCCCTGGCCACGGCCGTCACATGATCGTCTAAAGACAGCCGAGCATCCAGGAGGACGCCCAGGTTGCGGGCCCTCTCCGCGGGGGCTAATGACTTATTTAGCTGTAAGGCAATATGGTTGACCAAATGAGGCCACCTGATCAAAGCAAATCTGAATCTGAACAAACCAGTTCTGTGTCTCTGCCCAAGGAAATGTGGTCTAGCAGAATTAAACCAACCTTTGCCTGGGAGCACATTTTTGGAGAAAATAAGAACTATACTCATCTTTCAATAGAGGATTAGGCCACTTTCCAGAAACTGGATAGCACTAGGACTGAAACTATCAGACTTATTTTAAATTAATAGTATATCCCTTCAGTCACAATGAACATTAAAGTTTTGGTGAGAATTTCTGGTCAGACTTCTGGGGAAATCCATGTTTGTGCATCTTGTGAATTTCTGCTGCCTTTAAAGAAAGCAGGTCAGATAGCTTCTGGATGATTCTCCAGCTGTTGTCTCCCCCTCTTTCTTTTTCAGATTCAGAAATTGATTATGGATCCTGCCCCTGACAGTGGCCTTCTGCCCCTCATAAAAGTGCCAAATCCCCTTTTCAGTTAGCTTAGCTGCTCCAAGGATGATAATCTTCCTTTAAAGCACCTTCAGCCATTTCATCTGATGTCCTTGTCCTTCTGAATGGGAAGAAGCAAAATCAAGATTCTTCAAGTTGACTTTAAAGAGGAAGATGATGAATTATAAACCTAGCTGAAAAGCTGCATCAGACCCGTGATCTTTCTATAGTTATTCTATAGTTATGGTTGAAAGACGACACTGGTAACATTTTGACCTGGTCTTTTTCTATTAAGAAACATCAGTTCTGCCTCCTCAGCTCATAATGTGAATCTTGGCAATGTGTACAAATATATATTTAATTTGCACATTTTACTGTGACAGTTCTCTTGTGAGGGTGTATAAATAATATCTGGAATTGTTTACACTTTATGTCTATGGAGATTCTCAGTCATCCAGGTCATGGTTGTCCCAAAGATGCTTTTTCAAAAGGAAACTGGACTTGATTTTTCTTTGAAGATGTTTCGCTTCTCATCCAAGAAGCTTCTTCAGTTTTGACTGCCGAACAATCTTGGATGAGAAGCGAAATGTCTTCAAGGAAAAATCAAGTCCAGTTTCCTTTTGAAAAAGCACCTTTGGGTTTTACACTTTAGTGCAGATTTAGGAAACAAGTGGGAAAGTAAGCAGATGCTGGGTTCATACGTAATGCCTGTTGCTTTTTTGAATAAACTACAGTTTTGAAGCGGTTTTAGTTAACTGCATTTAACTGAGTTCACATAAAATGTAATCTAAACATGATTCAAGTCTGATGTGAGTCCAGTTTACTTCTATTGACAGAAAGACAAGTAGCTGTGCACAGGAAAGGAGGAATTTGTACAGGTAATCATACAATCTGAAAAAGTCCTCCCTTTTCCTACTTACATAACTTTTAGGTCTGCTCACAATCATGAGCATGTGGGTTAAGAACAGATCCTCACAATTCCATGTTGGCCATTTTTCATGCCCTGTACAACACAGTGAAATGTGTATTTTGAGGCCCTAACAATTGCCAAATGTTCAATAAGCTCCAGCTGTATTTAAAAAAAAGCTTACTACTTCATATGGAGAAATTAATAAGTTATGAAGTTTCTCTTCATTTCCTGAGAAATTTCAATTGCTAATTTCTGAATATCAAAAGCATAGCACTAGATGGCTGCTTTCAATTGTGAAACAAAACGATTGTTTCATTGGCCAGGCCACATTTTAAGACTCTAAAACAGAGGTGTCAAACTGCCGGCCCATGGGCCAAATGCGTCATGCCGAAATCATGCCCACCCCAGTTCCGGCAATGGGGAAAAAGTCGCGACATGTCACGTCACATGACGAGCTTGACACCCCTGCTCTGAAACAACATTTCTCAACCTTAGCAACTTTTAAGATGTGTGGACTCCAACTCTCAGAAGCCAGCAGGCTGTGGAATTCTGGGTATTGAAATTCACTTATCTTAAAGTTGCTAAGGTTGAGAAACCCTGCTCTAAAGTCACATTTGTTTTACATAGAATCTGTCCAAGCCAAGCATCACCATGGGAAAATACATTATTTTGACAGGAAAGGTTTCCAAGAAATCTTGTGTCCATCATTCCATGGCGAGCCGGAAAGAAAAGAGGTTTGCTTCTGATGTTGAGACTGCTTTAACTTACAGCTTTGTTGAAGGAAAAGTCTTCATCATGGTTCAGTCCGGGAATAAATAACATGGCGACTGCTTTAGAAAGAAAGTTGCAGTTTATTGAAGAGAAGAGGCAGACAGAAAGATGGCTCTGGAAGAAAAGAGAGAGAGCACATGTAGGGAGTGGGTTTTTATACCCTCTGGGGCTCTTGAGGTTGTTTCCTGTTCCTGTTCGAGGCTTTGTATTTCCTGTGTCATGTATTTTGACCTGAGTCTGAGTGTGCCCCTTTGGCATCTGTGGGTTAATCCTATTATGTCCTGTCTTAGAGTTTGGGTGGGGTATGTAGATTTTAAGGGCCTTTGTCTTCCTAAGCTTCTAGCTGGGGGCCTCCAACCTTCCTGAATGAATTACCACATATGCATTTCTACAGAGCTGGTTTCTGCTTGGGGGAGGGAGACTTAAGAAAAAACTGGGCATGCTTTTCTGCCTCTTTAAGATCCTTTGAGGAAATATAATATTCTGCCCTTTTAATATTTCCTTCTGGGGGGGGGGGTGACTTCCCATAGCTTCATAACAAAACTCTGTGCATATCTAGAGGATGCAGGAAAGTTAGTTTTGTGGATATGGAGCATACTATCCTTCAGGCAGTTGGGTAGAATTTGAAGGATGATCCAACCTCAAGGGTATTTTTTTAAAAAGTCATATTCATGTAGGACTCCAGATTTGTTATGTCGACCCTCTTCATCCTCGTTGAAAGTAAACACCCCCCTCCCATTACTTTCCAGTGACTGGTCGCTGTCCCTTTAAGACCCAGGTTTCCCTTTCTGCTCCCCATCACAACACCAGCGACACGTGCCTCCCCGCGTGCTTCCAACGCTGAACTGTCGCCTTTCCCCCCCTGGCGCCTTCCTATTGGTCAAAACTGGGTCAGGCTCCTCCCATCGTCTCTCCTCCTATTGGTCAAATCTAGGTCAGAGCCCCACCTGCCCCATGGCAGACGCACATGACAGAAGAAGCTGCGGGGGGAGCACTGTTTGCAAATCTCACGCTCTCGGGCGGCTGGTTGGTGGAGAAGGGCTTGCGAAGCCCCGCCCACTTTCGCTGCCTGGTCCCTCCTACTTTGTGGCAAAAGGAGGGGCGAATTCGGAAATAGTTGCGAAGTGTTTGTTGAGGAAAGTAACGAGAGATTTTTGCAATTTTATATCTGCATTTATCTGTCTATTGCACGCGTCTAGCTCAAATGCATTGGTTCCCTTCTGGGGGAAGCCTGCATAGGACTCCGGAACAGATCGGGATCCGCTTTCGGTTTCTCCTCCTTATTATAACGGGGATCTGGCAGAGAAGCAGGTGCGAAAATCTCGGATTCCCTCCGTGCCCGCCCGAGAAGATCCCTCCTTGGAGATCTAGCATTGCTTTTTCCAGTGCTTCTAGGATTTAGCTGGAGGAGGAAAAGGGGAGTTGATCCACCGCCGCCGTTTAGAGGGAGCAGGATCTATTAGTGAAGGGATCATACCGCCGAGTCTTTTCTTTTTTTGAGAGAGAGAGAGAGAGAGAGAGGAAAGGCTAAAAAGCTTCGGACAACAACCTCCCAAGGGTAATTAATTTTCCGCAAAAAAGATCCATTTTTAAAAAATTCTGAGTTAGAGAATCGATTCCCCCCGTTTCCTGATCATCCTTCATTATTGTTTCCTGGTTTTTTGTTTTTGTTTTTAAAAAATAAATATCTCTCTCTCCCCTCCCCTCCCCAAACCAGCCTCCTCATCTCCCGCAAAGGAATATTTCTAACAGATCTTCTGCGAAGATCCTTCTTGGTGCGGACTGGTTGCTAAATTTGGAGCGGGGCAAAGCGGGGGCCGTTGCCTGCGCCCTGGAGGCTTGTTTCGAGGCTGGTGGTGGAAAGAGAACGAGGGGGGGGGGGGAAGGCGGGAAAGAAATCTTTTAGGGGGGGAGAATCATCGAGGTCCTGAAATTTCCTTCCCCTCCTGAGCATCGTCGGTGGATTTTCGTCGGATTCTGGATCGAAGATTGATGCTTTTGCTCCTTTTTGTTTGTATCTTTATTTCTAAAGTCGGGACAGTTTGCTGGAGATCGTCGAAGGGAAAGGAAAAACCCACCGACGGCGGTGGGCATCTCCTGGAGTTAGCTGCTGCCCCCGCCGCCGCCGCAAGCTTCATCATGGCCCAGGGCAGTCCGGCACCCAGCCTCATGTCGCCTCCTCCTCTGGCGGTCGGCGGCCCCAGTTCCACTATGGTCAGTCTCAAGAGCCTCCTGCAAGGACCGGTCAAGAGTCCTGAACGCCGGGGGGCCAAGGAACTGGGCTCATGTGAGTGATTTCCCCCCACCCCGCCCCCCCCACCCCCTGCAACATGCCAGGTCTAACCAACATTTGTGCTCGCAGCCACGCAAAACATTTGCTGCTTTCCAACTGCTTCACCAGTTCACAGTGGAGGGATTTGATTTGATTTGTTTGTTTAGAAATTGCTAAAGCAATTTTTTGTGTGTGCGGATTAACATCTATCGGTCATCTATATACTCAATTGGCATTCTAGCTAGTTAGCTACTCTATGGTATTTATCCATCTATCATTATATCTATTCTGTGCTATCTATCTATCATCTCTCTGTCTATATCTCATCTACCTATCTCATCTACCTATCATGTAGTTGCTAGGAATCAAAAACAACTTTGATGCCACATCATCCATCAACTATATATAGTATTGCTGCTAGTTCCATTTTACAGTTTGGGAACCAAGAGGAGAGGAGCCACCCTAGAGAGAGAAAGAGATTAGCCATATTTGCAAAGCATACTTTCCGGTTATGAACCAAATCATGGTTTATTCAACCCATTTTTATGGGCTTGTTCCACTTAACTGAGCCATGAACTTGACATGGCTGGCCAGTTTGCACCACCCATTAGATATATTATGTTTGGCTGGTTTGTGAGTCAATGTGCAGAATTAAAGTGAAGGTCTCCTCTGGGCCAGTATTATTTTTCACCCATCACTTGAACCTTGCAAAACCTTTCCCAGGTATTTCATTTTAATACGCCAAGTGTTTTCTGCCTAGCTTGCCGGAGACATGCCAATGTCATAACACGGATGCAGTTTAAAATAATTAGGTGTCTTGTGCCGTATTAAAGATAAATGGTGTCAGGTTTTTTGTGGGCTCTGTGTGTATGTTACACACACACACACACACACACACACACACACACACACACACACACCCTATAATAAATATCCTTCCAGTTATCACTCCATCTTGTTAATTTTTCCTCCTAACTACAGTTGTTTTCCAATCTGCCTGCTCATTTGGGATTCTTTGCAACATTGGATTGTCTTTTCCATCCCAACCTGGCCAGTCTCTTTTAAAGTTAACAGGAATAAACCAGTGCTGAAAGGCCTCCTAGCTGTAGCTTTCTGCTTGCTTTCACTTCTACCTTTTCTGCCATCTGGATTTGGGAAGAGGAGGGGGGGGGAAAAGGAGCAGAGGGAGTGTTGCCATTAATGCGGTGTCCTCATTTCAACCTGCCACTGTTACTTCCCCTTTTTGTTCTGTTTCCTGTACTGTGAATTGCAAGAATGGGGTTTGTGTTCAAGGAAGATCCTTTTTCAAGAAATTGCTTATAAGAGCTCCTTCCACGTGCATGGAAGATGCGGCCCTTCTTTTAATTTTGATGGGATCATCATTTTAATGAAGTGCTGGAAGCGGGGGTGGGAGAGTGTTTTCTCATAGGTTTTGGCTGGGAGGGGCTTAGATCTGAGAATTCCACAAGAGAGCAAAGCCCTGTAAATAAGCTACAATATAGTAGGTGGAGTTAGACCCAGAGCACTTCTGAGTTGTCCTCCTCAAAGCCGGCACCCTTCTACTGGAGTGGACTGCAGCAGTGGTTGGAAGGGGAGGGTGGGAGTTGTAGTCCGACCCATATGTAAGATGCTTGCTTCTGGAAGGCTTTTGGCCCAGACCTAGGTGGGAACCAGGATTTTTAAAGATCAGGATGGGGGGGGGGGGACAAGGGGGAGAGAGAGAGGAATGTCCAAGCGTAAAACTTATCCTTCTCCCCGTTCCCTGTAATGACATCTTTAAGGAGCACTTGCCATGTCTGCCGTTGCAGTTCCTTCCTTTTGAAATGGATTTTTGGAATTCTAGTGTTTTGGAATTCAGTTCCTCTAAATGTGTCTGCCTCAATGCCTCACAATGCAGCACTATCGTAGAGGGTTGGTTTTTTTTAAAAAAAAATATTATGGAAGGCTGGGGAGGAGTATCAGGTTTTGAGGTAGGGAAATGGCTGTCATAGTCTCCTTGCAGGAGGGGACCAGGAGAAGGTGAGCAGTGAGATCCTGGATTTCTGAACTGGGAGAGGAAGAGAGGGGAGGGGATCCTCTTTTAAGACCCTCCCGGGGAGAAGGTTTGGGGAACCAGAACTCCTGGGGTTTTGCCGCTGGAGAGATGCCAACTCATCAGGGTTTTCCAGGGTGATCCATTAAGGGGTGTTTCTGTACATGCGCCTGCATACACACACATACACACACTTACATCTGCTGGTTGGCAGCAGTAAATCCCTTAAAGCTGCACACAGCTCAGCCACGGGACACAGCAGGAGGGAATGAAACGTGCCGGCGTGGAGCTTCGCCCCAGGAAACAATCTTTAAGACTTTTCACACAAGCCAACAGACAACGGGCGGGCAAGGGGTGGTGGGGTAGCAGCAGCCAGGATATTGTGGGGACTTCCCAGGGTCAGCAAACCCCTCCCTGGCAAGGAGAAAGAAGGGGGGGGAGAGGAAAAGAAGTGTGTGGGGGGAGCGCCTGCTCTCCACAAGCTGGCATTTATATTCTAGTTCGTCAGGATGAGAGGTGGACAGATGGATACAGACCATGATGTGGGGGTGGGCAGCTGAAGAGGGGCTCCAGGGTGCCAGTCGGATCCCTTAGCCTACCTGGGCAGAATCTTCTATGGGCTCACCCCCACCCCCTTAATCCTTATTTAATATTTATTTTCCTCCTTGCTGTGTGACCCTCATTAAGACAAAGATCCTTGAGTGCAGAGGGGAGACAGTTGTGTGTTTTAAGCCCTCCCTTCCCCCAAGTCCAGTGCCTGCATTGGGAGACATATTTCTTCATATGCACCTCCTCACTCCCCTCCCCCTGGATTTTGGGAGCTGATGCTAACCTTGACCATCCATATCAACGTTCAAGGGTTGTTGTTGTTGTTTTCGTTCTGCCATGTGCATGTTGCTTTGGAGAGCATTCTGCTCCTGTTTTCTCCGTGTAGTGTACGTTCACTTGCTTGCTTGCTGGGGGCTCGGTTTGCTGCTGTTGACTCCAACCACTGGGAAGGCTGGTTGTGTTTGGAGGTTTGATTGTTTTCATTTGGTTTAGGTTATGACTGCAGTGAGCTGGCTGAGCCTGGGTTCAAAATAACAATAACAATAATAAAAATAAAAATAAAATTTTTGTGGTGTTCACTCTGTTTAGTGCCACAGCCTGAATATTGAGCATTAGCTATTTCCCAGCTCTTTTTCATTATATTCCTTTTAGCATCTGATTGCCAAATATCCTGAGTCACATTAGTTACAAAGTAGTATGTGGTTTGTGGGTGAGAGTATGGTATTACGTGGACCCCAAGCTAGGATTACCTGATGGTTCTGTTGACTTCAGCACATATGTAATACATGCCTAGGAATAATGCAGGTTAAATATATTGTGTGAATTCAGCCTTGAAGTACTTTGTATTCTGAAACAGTTTTCACGCCTGCAATAGCTAGTGGGGCAGAATTAGAAAACAAGGCTCACATGCTGAGGTCCAGATTTAGGTATTACATTAAATTGGCCATGGGGGGGTAGAATTTAGGGGAAATTTTGAGGGACTGAGGGAGCAGTTTAGAAGGTAATTTTGGTGTCACACAGAAAAAATCTTTGTGCCTAAGAGCCAGGACTAAAGGCAAAGGAGGAATGGAAACAAAATATTTATCATTTTTATTTTTCCACTGTATCATTCCCCATATTTTAAATAATATCAGCAGTATTGTTTCTATATCCTGTTCTTTGCCATTATTTATCCCCCACAGGCATTTTATCCTTGTAGTACCCTTGTTGAGGTAGTTCATTATTCCCATTTTACAGATAGGGAAAACTAAGGCTTTAACAAAAATGGCCATGGACTGTTCTGATGAGTCCCGTGACTGGGTCAAGATTTCATCCAGCAGTTCATAACTGCCAGTTTCAAATAGTTGCCTGGGTGGATCCAGGCATGGGAAGAAGAGGAGGAGCAGGAGAAGGAGGGAGGGAGGAGCGAAAATATTCCGGGATCAATCTGTATGGAGCATCTCCTCACAATTGGGAATTGTATGTGGGTTTAATCTAGTCATGGGGCGTTGGGAGTGACTCGCCCAGTTTCGGGGCGCCAGGTTGGTGTCGCCACAGCCCATCAGCTGGGCCTGGACTTCTCTTCCACGTGTACAGGCAGCGTAAGAGTTCAGGTATGGAGCACCACTCCCAGGCCTGTCTGAACCTCATGGTGTGGGTTGAACACTTGTAAAGCACACAACCACCTAAGCTTCCAGAGACCTGGTGATTTGGGGAGGGAGCACAGACAGCCCAGGTGCAGTGGAGAGAGGGTGCAGAGGTGTGTGTGTGTGTTTTTGTAGGTAGGTAGTAGGAGTCATGTCAAGGAGGTTTGAAGAAATGCTTATATCGTCTCCCACTCACCTCCTGGCACTTTCTTCTATTTTAGCCCACTCATGAATAATAATCTCTGCAGTCTGCTGTAAACAAACTGGGGCAACCAAAGGGCAGTGTTTATGTGGTGGTAGGGAAATGGATCCCTTTTGCCCCAGATTTAGGCACTAGGCAGGAGTAGATTCAATCATATCTGAACCTAAGCCGGTGGATTCAGGGGCTAGACTGCTATCCCAGGCAGAAAATCCTGCTTTTGCCATACGCTCTCCCCAGATTAATGGTCTGGGGTGTGTGTCTGTATTAGAGTCCCTGAGAAATTAGTTCCTTTGAAAGGCCAGCTGGCTGTTTCTCTGAAAAGAGCCACCTTCCCTGGGCTTCAGGCTGGCAAGGGGGCAGCAAAAGAACAGGAGCACTGATGAAGCCGATCAGATATGGCTGAACGCAGCAGGGGTCAGCTGGGGTAAAGCTGCGCTTGTCTTTTGCTGGTGAACAACAGGCAGGCCTCCGGGGCGGAGAAAGTGAAGGATAGGTCCTGGGCAAATTTCAGCAGTTTTACACTACAGATATCAGCGATTGCATTTTACAGCCTCAGTGATCTAGCTTGTCCTTGCTTCTCAGCCCTTGAATTAACCACGGCCGTAGATCAGAACCATTTTAATGAAACGTTCCCAGACTGGAACTTCCTTGCTGCCAGATATTTTAAAAGCTAAACAAAAACATTATTGTGATCCAGCGCAATCAGAAACGGGTTCATGTCTGCAGTGTAAAAAAATAAAATAAAAAAAATCTCAGAGCAATCATACAAATCCCGAGGAAGATTGGCACAATTGCAGAAAGATAGAGGGAAGATTTAGCATCCTTAATTTGTTAGTAGAGGAGTGCAGAATCTTTCTGAACTGAAACCTTTTTCCATTTTTAGTTTGAAGCAGTTGCTTCAAGGGTGAAGCAGGCTGTTCTGATCATTTGGGATCGTTCCAAATTCAGAACAGAACTGATTGAAGCAACATGAGAGAAGCAGGCAGTTTTTGAACCCGAAACAGATTTTCACATTCCACGTTCAAAAACAGGTCAAATTTTTAAGATACCAGCTGCTGATGAACCCAGTGGAAACTTCGTTTTGAGTTTGCATCAAGCCGCCAAGGAGATCAGAGGTAGAACGTGGGGCAGCCTTATCTACAGCAAACAGCAGTGATGGCAGAATATCAACATGTGCCTGGTGACACCATCACACAGCTGCCACCCTTTATGTGTTTGCATCCTGACATCTGATGCAAGGGTGTAAGTTATGGTGTTTGTGTGGTGATTTCCTCTGCTTTTTTTTTTCTTCTCATTTGTCCGTTTCCCCCTCCTGCAGACACTCATACACATGGGATTATTATTTTGCAAAACCACTTTAAAACTTTAAAAATCTTGGGATTGGGACTATCTGGGGTTATATAGTGTGCCTCTGATTTGATCGGTCCCTGAAAAGCATCAACATCAACAACTTTTAGGATATGTGGACTTCAACTCCCAGAATTTGTCAGCCAGTATGCCTCTTAAGGTTGAGAAGCACTACTATACAATTAAAATAGTTTCCAACAAAGCCTTAATTATAGAATGCAGTGGGTAGGTGGTTTCAATCCAGGTAGCATAAATGGTACATGGTGAATACTTCGATTAAAACTGCCAGAATTGTTGATCTAGAAACATTCTTGACTATCTATCCACAAACTACCTGCCTGCATGCAGGTGAATATCGTTCAAAACAACGAAGGGATAAGAAAGCCAATAGCTGAGAGTGGTGGGCACTCAAGAAGAAACTGGAAGGCCATCAGTTCAGGAACCTTTAAATCTGGTCTCTGCACTGAACATGCAGATGGATGGCCTAAATTAATCTTTCCACATCTTATATTCTAACATCAAGCCAACTTTTTCTTCCTCTGAAATAACGGAGTCACTGAGGAACCTGTAAAACCTTTGCTGTACAGTTATGGTGAGTATGAGGTTGGAATGACTTTATAGGTCTCTCCACAGCACACTTTAATCCCTGTAAGTAACTTGATGGTGCAGCCATCCCTTTGATTCGAACAGAGCTGTGCTAAGTGTAATTCACTTAACGTGCAAATTATAATGACTTACTGCTAATTAGTTTTCATTTTTTATATTTCATTCTGTATCCCTTCCAGACAACAAGTTCATCTTGACTTTGTATATTGAATAATGTTGCTCTAGGTAGGCTAGGCATGATAAGGAAAATTTGGCACTCTGAAGCCTCCAGTTGTATGCAAGTACATACACTTTATGACCATAATTGGGACTGGAACTTCCATTGCTAAATGGGCAGTTATTAAGTGAATCATGCCTGATTTAATGACCTTTTTTTTCTGCTGTTGTTAAGCGAATCCAGTTTCCCCCCATTGACTTTGCTTGTCAAAAACTCCTTGGGAAGGTTGCAAATGGTGATCACATGACCCCAGAATGCTGCAACTATTGTAAATACATGCCAGTTGCCAAGTGCCTGAATTTTGATCATGTAACCACTGCGACTGTCGTAAGTGTGAAGACCAGTCGTATGTCACCTTTTTCAGTGTTCTCATATGTTTGAACCGTCCTTAAACAAATGGTTGTAAGTCAAGGACTACCTGTATTGCCCTTTTCAGAAATTCAGGTTAGAGAACTATAAATAGAATTGGAGCTAAACATTTTTAACATTCTGCAGTTGGAAGATAATGAAGTTTAATGTTGTCTGCTTTTGAAGAAGGATTAACTTTTGGTTTGGGAAAAGCCCTTATCATTGCTAAAGGCATTTTGTATTCCCTTTGAATTGTACTTTCCTTTAAATCAGGGATGGGGAACAATGGCCATTTTATGGCTTGTGGACTTCAACTCCCAGAATTCCTGAGCCAGCCATGCTTACATATATGTAGCTGTAATTTATATTCATTATTTCCCCCTCTTCACATTATGTCTTTCTTTTTTAATTATAAGCTGCTTTGGCCAGATATGGCCCTTGTCCCTTTACAGTACAAAATAGTCAGACATTTAAGTTGTAACGTGTGGCATATTGGGGAAACAATTTTTCATTTATTAACAACTCTTCTTATCCAAGACTTTGTTGCTAAAAGACTTTTATGTATGAGTTTGGTACAAGCTTTGCAGTTTCCTTAAGCATCCACTGCAGATTTATCACCTTCAGCCTTCTCCTCACAGCATGAGCAAATTCTGGTCTAATTTTCCAGATTCTGACTTTCCAGTTAATTGCCTGTCTTATTTTTGATCGCATTTCGGTAGATTCCTATTCTTAGATTATACACATTCCACTAATCTTGTTCTTTAACCTGCGTTTCTCCCTTTTGCTCTCCCCTGCTGCTTTTGTTCCATTGCAGGTGTGATCAAAGACAAGGAGCGTAAGATGGAGGACGATCTGAGCGTCTCAAGACCTGGGCACTGTGCATATCTGGGGTCCCTCCTGTGGGAACGCACCTTGCCCTACAATGAGATTGAATACGTAGACTTGGATGAATTTTTGCTGGAAAATGGTTTGCCCCCAAGTCCAGCCCATCAGTCGTATTCCCCAGGCAGCCAGCCCACCGCCTCACCTTCCAGTGGGGTAGTGGTGGATCTTAGTCGGCCAGCTTCTTGCGCGTCATCGTCTTCAATCTGTTCTTCATCTGGTGAAGGTCTGGTCGGCAGTGATTATGACCAAAACTGCAGCAAAACAGGTAAATTTGGCTGTATTTTGGGCAAGAGGATGGTGTAGGGCAGGGGTAAGCAACCTTGGCTCTTTTATGACTTGTGGACTTCAACTGGCTCAGGAATTTTGGAAGTTGAAGTCCCCGAGTCATAAAATTGCCAAGGTTGCCTACCCCTGGTGTAGGGGGGAAAAAGATGGGGAAAAAAGTGATTGGCTCCTGTGGTTCTGCTTTTGGGATGAGATTTGTAAGAGAACTGTAAGAATCTCCTTTTAACTGTTTCCCAAAGTCTGTTTTTGCTGTAGAAGAGAATATTTGTAATTCAGGGTTGAACTATGGAGTCCTTGTTGCTCCCTGAACTTCTTGCAGATCTTTCATTACCCAACTAGGCAACATTTGCACTGATGGTGTTACCTAGTTGGGTAATGAAATGTCTGCAAGAAACCACCAAGGGCCCCACAGTCTGGTTTTTTCCCCCCTCAGCTTCCACACATCTTAGATGTCACATCCAGCACACAATAATTGTAGGCCTAAAACCACAGATGCTCACACAAATATTTGTTGATAGTATTATGAAAACACCCTTATAAAGCTAGGGTGCAAATTCCAAGTGGCATTGCTATATGCCAGTGGTAGCGAATCTATGGCACGGGGGCCAGAGGCAGCACTCAGAGCCTTCTCTGTGGGCACACGCGCCGTCGCCCCAGTCCTAGGCCTTCAGCTGGGTTTTATAAAACCTTTTCGCTTTAGGCCTCCGCCGCCATGTGCAAAAAAAAAAAAAAAGGTTCAATCAGTCAATTTTAACTTCTCGTGGGGAAAAAAAAGATCTTGCAAAGTTGGAATTGATTGATTGAACTTTTTAGTCCCACCCAGTCTGCCATTACCACCGCAGCCACGCCCACCCAATTAGCCACACCCAGCCAATTGGCAACACCCAGCCAATGGGCCACACCCACCTGGCACTCAACGATGGATAAGTGGGTTTTGGGTTGCAGTTTGGGCAGTCAGTCTTTAAAAGGTTCGCCATCACTGCTATATGCTTTGTTTTGTTTTCCTTCTGCAGTGCCTCGGTGACAGAAATGGGAACTATGGCCTCTTTATGACTTGTAGACTTCAACTCCCAGAATTCCTGAGCCAGCATGGTTGGCTCAGGAATTCTGGAAGTTGAAGTCCACAGGTCATAAAAGGGCCATAGTTCCCCACCCCTGCTTCTTTGGGATAAGAAGAAAGCATAATTTAAACTTGCTCTTTGAACCTGTAGAGGGCAAAGTCATATTGTAATTTATTTTTTGTTTAAAGGCACAAAATCTTGAGAATGTGCCACAGGTTACACATGGATGCATATAACAAAATATTTTTCATACAAAAATAGGTTGTGGAAGCTATGATTTGCAATGAAAGAGCAGCAAAAGAGAAGAGTTTCCCCCCCTGTTAGACAATTTTCCTGTTCTGAATCATTCCTTCCCAACTACTTTTCTTCCTGTGGCTAAATCTGTATGAAGAGAAAAGGACTTAATGCTCTGAGCAGAGAATGGTGCAATTTTTCTTCCCTCTGCTCCAGATCTCAATTTTAATGCCTTATTTTGACCCTTGTGCTAAGTGTTCTCTTTTATATCCTGTTTGACCAATCCTTACTTTAAAAAGAACTCTAAAATTATTACAAATCATATTTATTCTTGGATTAACATCTGCAAAAAGATTCAAAGGTGCTTTTTTTTTTTTCAAAAGGCAACTGGGCTGTTTTTTCCTTAAGGAAGAAGAAGAAGAAGGGGGAAAAAAGTTTTGCTTCTTATCCAAGAAGCTTTATCAGTTCTGATGGCAGGGAGATGGATAGGTACTGACAGTTGAGAATGGATGGTGGGGAGAAGATGGAAGGAAAGGTTCTGATAGGATGGGGAGGGGAATGGAAGGATAGGTTCATCAAAACTGATGAAGCTTCTTGAATGAGAAATGAAACATTTTCTTTCTTTCTTTCTTTCTTTCTTTCTTTCTTTCTTTCTTTCTTTCTTTCTTTCTTTCTTTCTTTCTTTCTTTCTCCTCCTTCATCTTCCTCAAGGAAAAAACAATTCAGTTGCCTTTTGAAGGAAAAAAAGCACCTTTGAGACAAGTATGACCTGGATGACTGAGAATCTCCATAGATATCTGCAAAAAGATATTCTTTGAAACATGGTGTATTTGGTGTGGAGGTGATAAAAAAATTATTTTAGCACCCTCACTGGGTTAGAGCGGGGAAGGAAGGCAGTTTCAAGTACCTGCCTAATTGTGGCAAGGAGTTTCATCTCCTAATTGCAAATAGTTTTCAGTCCCACCTTTTGGTTGTGGTGGCAGTGACAGCCTTCTCCTGGCTGCTGGAAAGTCCAAACTCTCATTCCTACCCTGATTTTCACTTGCCACATACAGACTGATACACAAAGAATTGTGTACTGCTAGCACACACACCATGCACCTAGGAACAAATACTATTTTTGATCCTATCCTGATTTGTATAGGAATTCTTTTCTCTACCTGTTGAAAGTTTTAGAATTTCAGTGAAGTTTTAAGCTATTTTTATTGTGGAGAGGATCAGAAAAGAGATTTTATGGACTAATCTAGAGGCAACTGAAGATGCGGTGTTCTGAAAATAAGCATATCCTGATTTGATCAAAGTTCACTGCAATCTTCATCAATGTCTGGACTTTAGCTTCCAGAATTCCCAGTCAGGGAATTTTAATTATAGATATTGCAAGGGATTCTGGGAGATGTAGTCCATATAGCTAGAGCAGTGGTTCTCAACCTTTTTAATGCCGTGACCCCAACCGGTCGTAAGTCGAGGACTAAACCGGTCGTAAGTCAAGGACTAAACCGGTCGTACGTCGAGGACTAAACCGGTCGTACGTCGAGGACTATCCAACCGGTCGTAAGTCGAGGACTTTCCCTGCCCGGGAGCGCCACGCATGCGTGGTTCCGCCCCCTGCGCCGGCTGAGGCATAGCTGGCAAGCGGCAGAGACGGAGCAGGCCGACCACCAACTGGCCCAGCCCAAGGGAGGTAAGGCACCCGCCGGAAAAGGGGGAAAAATGGCGGACAAAAAAAATGGCGGATAAAAAAAATGGCAGACAGCATTGCTTGGCGACCCCCGTGAAATGGTCGATCGACCCCAAATGGGGTCCCGACCCACAGGTTGAGAACCACTGAGCTAGAGGTACACCTGTTGAGAATTGATCCAATGGATGAAAATTCTATGTTATAATAGAATTGATGTATTAAAGAATACATAGAAAGGGATGGAGATTTAAAACAATTTACAACAGTAAAAACATTGCAAATGAATGCATATACTCAGCTTTATTATTATTTTAACAGTCTCATAGGCTCCGGGGACTTCTGAGAAGTTAAGTATTGTATTCAACCCCCATGTTGAAGACAATTACTTCTAAACTTCCATTTCTTTGTCTGGATTTGCACAACATGCTATGTTTAGTTAGTTTTAGCCTTGTTTAGGGCTTTGGCGGAAGGATTAGCACATTTTACAAGTCCAGCCTGTTTGAATAGTTTATGCTTCAGCAACATCAGAAAATGGATTAATTCAGTAATCAAATTCACAGCATTGTGCAAAACCCAGGTCAGAGTGATAATAATATTGTTTTTAGACTTCATTTCTGACTGAGCCTTGTTCTGGTTCCCAATAGAAAGGTGGAATGTATGGATTTTTAAAAACAGAATAATAAGAAGTTTGAGTTGGATAATATTTAGAAAGCGATCCTCCAGGTTTGATTCCGAATATGGCTTTTCTGCTTCCATTTCGAAGTGTGATTGTTGAGAGGTTGTGGGGAAAGAGGAAGTTTACAGAGCTTTGGATGGGAATCTGGTGCTTGCTGTTTACGGTGAAAAATATCGAGAGAGCAGATTAGTGAAGGTAAATTGATTCCATCCACAATGTTTGGGACTCCTTGGAGGATATGCAACACGGGATTGTACTCTACAAGCAGTATTTCATAACCTCAGCAACTTTAAGCTGGGTGGACTTCAATTCCCAGAATTCCTTCAATTCCCAACATAACTGACTGGGGAATTCTGGGAATTGAAGTCCACACAGCTTAAAGTTGCTGAGGTTGAGAGACACTGTTCTGGACTTATTCTTAGATCAGTGGTGCTCCAGATTGACTCACATATCAATAATGATTTAATCACATCAAACAATGTAATCAATACTGTGTGAAGGTGATGTAATTAAGTTGATGTCCAAACGATGCAGGTTTTTAAGTGAATTTCTAATTCCTATATTTGATAAATGTATATGGTCCCTCTCAAACTTTTAAGACTTCCCTCCCTCCCTCCCCCCTCCCTTCCTCCCCCTACATCCTATAAAGTTTCTCCCCAATTATGATCCTTCACTCTAACTTGGTTAGCTCACTATTAATTGGAACACTCGGCATTCCTGAATGCTCCATCTCTTCTTTTTAAGACATAAGCTGGATTCCCACAATACACTAAAGCTCCATGGAGTTAAGTGGCGCATGGAAAGGCTGTGGTATGCACCAGGCCATCGCATTATGCCATAACATTTTAAATGTTTCAGCACACTGTGTGAAATGAACACAGGAATTGTTTTATTAATCCAGATCTATTAATCAGTGAATCTAAGACCACTGCCAACACTTTTCTCTTTTACTTAAATCTAAAGAAAATAACTGGAGCTCTTGTATCGGGGGGGGGGTATATAATCCAAAACATTAAATATAAATTGCCTCCCCCTCTCTAGATGTTCTTACATTTAAGTCACCCCTTCCTCTAAAAACTCTGTAGGGTCTTTTGTGCTCTCTGAGCTTGGTGGGGTTTTTTTTTTGCAGATCTTTCATTACCAAACTAGATAACATCATTAGCGCACTGATGAAGTTACCTAGTTTGGCAATGAAACGTCTGCAAGAAAATCACCAAGCTCAGAGAACATCAAAGACCTCCACAATTCAATCCTGAACTACAAATATTCTCTTGATATTTGCCCTGTACTACCCCCCCATCCTTTCCCCCCCCCCCCTCCTATTGCTTCATCAGCTCTGTCAGCATTTCTGGATACCAACAGCCTCCATTTAAAAACAGGAAAGCCTCTCCTTTGCCCAAACACTGCCCCACATCCTAGACGTAAGGCCTTTCCTCCCCTCTGCCTATAAGAGGGAGGGAGAACTCCTGGGGATGAAGCTTCCCCCTTTCCTGAACATCAGGTGTGGGTCTCCCCCTCCCCACCTTAAGGAGGAGGCCTGAAGTCCCCCCCTCCCTCCCTGTGCACGTTTGAATGCGTGTGCACGTGTCCTGGAGTAGAGACTCAGCCCTAGCGTGCCAGGAGGCTGCGGGGAATCCCGTGTTACTGCTATGCCAGAGCCCTGTGTCAACCACGCCCGCTTGGAAAGGCCCAGTCTCGTGTCTGTGCATGGAGCCTCCTGCTTTCGCTCACGTTTCTCACCCTGCCTCTGCGAACACATGTCGCTCGGCTGGGCTCTGCGCTCATTGCTCCTGCCAGCTGGCAGCCTGCCTCTTCCTCGGCGCAGGGCGGGGCGAGCGGGCACGTGGGGCTGCGGTGTGAGGCAGGCGGGCAGGGCCTCTCCAGGGGTGCCTGTGTGGCTCTCCCAGCAGGCAGGTTCCCATGAGGGGCCAGCAGCAGGGTGTTGCAAAGCCAGGCAGATTAGCCTTGGGGCTCTCCGGCAAACGGAGGTGGGTGGAGCAATTTAGCAGGGCGGTCATTTGGGGTCTCCAAGGGGGAAGAGATTAGAAGGGGTGACTGGCAGATGTCTGGGGGAGGGGGGCTGTGGGAAACAAGGGTACTTGGGTTCTCCAACAGGCACAAGCACCTGAGTTCCTCCACAGAAAGCAGCTCCATTACAGGAGAAGGCAAAAGGACAGCAATGCTCTTTGTTTGCTAGCAAGAAAAAGCTTTAATACTGGCCGTGAAAATGTTGGCTAGAACAGGAAATGGAGGTTAAGTGAAAAAGCGACTTTTGGATCCAGGATGAATCTTAACAGCTGATTTAGTTGCAGGTTGTTGGGGGTGAGCATTTAAAAGTGCACATTATAATGTATGGAGATTATATTTGCTTTGTGACCTGCATTTTAAGCTCACTCTCTATAAATCCTGAATCTTGAAGAAGAGGGAGGAGGGACCAGGAAATTTGGAGTTAGAAGCACAGGGGGTGGGGGCTGCTCCAGGTTAGGGGAGAGTTAAAGATTAGGAGGACTGTCAGATATATTGAGTCCCTGTTTTCTGGCAACTGCTCTCATCCTCTATTGCTCAGGCGTGTTTCAACATTGCACAGCTCCAAGCCCTCTCTGGTTCTGCCAGCCACAAAATGCCTTTCTCCTTCCCTGCCATATTTTCCCAGGCAGGGTAACTTAATAAACTTTTAAAGCAGTGTTTTTCCTCCTCAACAACTTTAAGAAGGGTGGACTCCCAACTCCCAGAATTCCCTAGCCAGTTGGCTGGGGAACTCTGGGTGTTGGAGTCCACCCTTCTTAAAGTTGCTGAGATTTGAGTCACACTCTTTTAATTCAACCATCCCTCGATTTGCAGTTACCAGAACAAATGTGCCCCTATGCCTCTTCTCTGGCTATTTCTTAAGCCCCTGTCAGACACGGAGTGCTCCAGAAAATCCACCTTTACTTAAATGGGGTTGGGATGCTGCTTAACCTGCATAAATTTCCCAGCCCCTCTGCATGCCTTTAATCCTCAGGAAGACTTAAATGTACTGGGTTATCAAGAGACATAACCCTGTGTCCCTGTTGCTCTCCACCATATCAGTTAATCCCTTTCGTGAAGAGTTGAGGTGCACCGGGAAGCAAAAGGGGTGGTTGGATATATGATCATCAGGAAGGAGTAGGTTACGAGCAGATGCTTTTGTTGGTGCTTTTCTGTCTTTGTGCAAAATTCACCTACTTTCCTCCTTAACCTGCCTCAGGTCCTGTCACGCCAGTGTCCCGAAGCACACCCAGCCCGGTAGACCCTGAGACTGTGGAGGTCCTCATGAACTTTGACCCTGACCCTGCTGATTTGGCACTGTCCAGCATTCCAGGCCACGAGACCTTTGACCCTCGCAAGCATCGGTTCTCAGAAGAGGAACTTAAGCCCCAACCCATCATGAAAAAGGCCCGGAAAATACAGGTTCCTGATGAACAGAAGGTGAGCTGAGAACAAGGATAGGCCACTGCTTGGGGTTCAGAGACCTCTTGCTTTCGTTTTCCCATCCTCCTTAACCTGGTTGAAATAGCTTGGATGTTTCTTTAAGGAAGGGAGTATAGTATTCAGATCAAGAGAGAACAAAGTTACTCACAAACCAAGCAATAAAAGCAAGACCATAAACTGTTTTATGTATTAATTGCACATATAATGAATACTTGGGCTGTGCCGTTGATTGAAAATGATTTAGGAGGAGGGTTTTAGATCTAGCGCAAGCCCAGCCTTTCTCTGCTATTCTTTAAACTACTCATACGTAGTCCCCCTCTTATGACAGTTTATTTAACAACAGTTTGAAGTTATGATGGCCTTGGGGAAAAAATGACTTAAACTGGTCTTTGAAGTTTTGACCATCATATCACTCTTGTGGTTATATGATCACAATTTGGGGCTTGGCAACTAGCTTGCATTTATGACTGTTGCAGCAGCATCTTGCAGTCAGGTGATCTTGATTTGCAACCTTCCCAGTGAGCTTCTGACAAGCAGAGCTAGTTGGGGAAGCTGGATTTGCTTAATGACCATGGGATTCATTCAGTGACCATGTGATTCACTTAATGATCACAGTAAAAAACCAATCTGGTCACTTAATGATCACTCATTTAATAACTGGATCGCTGAGTGACCACAATTTTGGTTCCAGTTGTGAACGTTAAGTCAAAGATTACCTGTATGACCTATTTCAGGCTAAAAAGAAAATGCATGGTTCAATGAACAGCAGAGAGGTGTTCTGCTCAGGTTAGGTCTGAGTATTTTTAAAATGCCCATGGCCCTAAACACAGGGAGATGAAAATGGGATACCTGGGCCTTCCCCCTCAGTTTTTTCTCTTCACAACAATGAGGCTAAAAATAGGAATGAATCTCGGGGAAGCTTTATGGTAGAGTGAGGATTTTAACTCCCGTCTTCCTAGTCCTGCCCCTCCATTGTAATAGCTTTATAATGGGGGGGGGGGAATGTTGCCAAAAGAAGGAGAATATTTACAAGTGGTCAAACACCTTGAAACAGGGGTCCCCAACCACCCAGGCCACGGACTGGTACTGGTGCCTGGCCTGTTAGGAACCGGGCCGCGGAAACAGTAAGCAAACAAGCAAAGCTTCATCTGTGCATGCACAGGATCTAGGTTGCATGTGAAACCATCACCCTCCCCCACCCTCCCCCAGTCCATGGAAAAATTGTCTTCCACAAAACCAGTCCCTGGTGCCAGAAAGGTTGGGGATCACTGCCTTGAAGGATTTCCTTGTTATTCATTTGGTTGCTTTTCCCAATTGTTAGAAGTAAAGTCTTCATCCTGGCTCATCCAAGCCGGGAATAAATAAGCAACATGGCGACTGCTTTGGGAAGAAGGTTACAGTTTATTGAAGAGGCAGAAAGATCGTTCTTGCAGGAAAGACCAGAGGAGAGAAGGGCTGAGTGTCAACGCTGCAAATACTGTATATTCTTGCTTTGACAATATGCAGAACTGTCTGGTATTTATATAGTTAAACCAGCAACTGGGAAAGAGGGAGGAGAATAAGGATAGCCCGGGAGAAAGAAACCGGAAGTAAATCACATCTTCCAAGTTGATTGGAAGATGTGAACCATGACCCCAAAATAAGGGAGTGGGAAATGC